CTGTGGGCAACGTGCCGTCTCCCCAGCTCAGCTCCACCACACTTGGGGGAAGCGCATGCGCAGAAATGCACGTGGGAATAGGGTGCATGTGCATGCACAAATGCGGGATGCGCGTGCACAGGTGCACATGTGAATGTGGGGGGCGCAGGTGTTCCATTTTTGGGTAGGCGCACGCACATGTGCTTTGGGCACTAGGTGCCAAAAGGGTTCACCATCGCTGCCCTAGAGGTTGCGACTTCAACTTTGTTCTTGTGGGTGATAATTTTCTATGCAGGTAGTCCTCCCAACTTATGAACCACAACTGAGTCCAAAATTTCTGTTGCTAAGTGAGACATTTGTTGAGTTTTGCCCCCTTTCACCAGCTTTCTTGCCATAGTTGTTCAGTGAATCAGATTAACAGAATTGGAAGGGACTCCCAACTCTGGAGGTTGGAAGGGACTCCAACTCCCCCCGCCCAAGCAGGAGACCTTACACCATTTCTGACTGATGGCCATCCAATGTCTTCTTGAAAGCTTCTGGTGATGAAGCTCCCACAACAATCACTGCTTCACTGCAAGTGGTAAATTAGTAACACAGTTGTTAAGTGAATCTGGCTTCCCCATTGACTTTGCTTGCCAGAGGATCGCCAAAGCTGATCATAGGATCATAGACACAGCAACTGACAAATACAAGCCAGTTGCTGAGCGTCTGAATTTCGATGACGTGACCATGGGGATGTTGCAGTGGTCATAACTGAAAAATAGGCATACTTCACTTTTTTCAGCGACATGGTAACTTTTGAACAGAAACTAACTGAACTGATGTAAGTCGAGGACTAACTATTTCTTGGTTCGTTTGGTCAAATGCTTCCCATGCCAGGGGTGGGATTCTACCGGTTCGCACCTATTCGCTAGAACCGGCTGTTAACATTCTAAGCAGTTCGGAGAACCGGTTGTTAGAAGAAATTACTGGGCTAATCCTGTAAGGAAGGCAGGAAGGAAACATTCTGGTGTTGCTTACAGAAACTGCTGCTCCATTAACCCTTATTACATTCTTGGTAGGATTAGACTTCCTGTCTCAGGAACATCTCTGGAGTTTTTTTTCCCCTCCTTTGCTGGTACTTTGCTCGTGTGGAGTGACCATTCAAAGTTACAATGGCACTGAAAAAAGTGACTTATGACCCTTTTTCACACTTACGACTGTTACAGCATTCCCACAGTCATGAGAGGCCAGGCGAGGAGATGTGTGCCTCGATGTGAGTGATATTGAGTTGGCCACGCCCAGCCAATAACATGACCACCAAGCCATGTCCACCCACAGCCTGGAGTTTGTTCCTGACAGGCTCAAGGTTGACCGAGCCTTACATCCTTCTGGGGTCGTTAGAATGAGGACAGCAGATTATTGGGGGCCAACATGGAAATAATGCTCACATTGTAGACTATAGAGTGCTCTAAAGCAGGGATCTGCAAACCCCAGTCCGTAGACCAGCACTGGGCCATGGCATGCATGCCAGAAACTGGGCCGTGCAAACAAGCGAAGCCGCATTCGTGGGATGCAGGCAGTCCACAAAACCTCACCCCCTCTGGTCCACAGAAAAACCTCTTTCCACAGAACCGGTCCCTGGTGCCCAAAAGGTTGGGGGAGGGGGCGCTGCTCTAAAGCACCATGGAGATGTTTATATAAGTCTTAAGTGCTATTGCTGCTCCCTGCACATTGAGATGTACTAATTCAGCAGAAAATGCTATAATAATTTCCTGACCTGTTACCTTTCAGTTTTGGCTGTTTTTAGGCAAATTAGTCACAGTTGCATTCATGTGCCAAGCCATGGTTCCTTTCAAGCATTTTGCAATAGCCCTTATATACCACTTCACAGTGCTTTTTACAGCCCTCTCTAAGCGGTTTACAGTCAGCCTCTTGCCCCCAACAATCTGGGTCCTCATTTTACCCACCTCGGAAGGACGGAAGGCTGAGTCAACCTTGAGCCTGGCGGGATTTGAACTGCCAAATTTCAGTCAGCTGGCAGTCAGCAGAAGTAGCCTGCAGTACCGCACTCTAACCACTGCACCACCGTGGCTCAATGTAATGAAAAGAAGGGCAATGTGTGACATGATAGTCTTCCAATATTTAAGGGGTTGCCACAAAGAAGATGGGGGTCAAGCTATTCTCCAAAGCACCTGAAAGTCAGGATAAGAAGCAATGGGTGGAAACTAATCAAGGAGAGAAGCAACTTGGAACTAAGTGAGAGCAATATGACAGTGAGAACAATCAGTGGAACAACTTGCCTTCAGAAGTTGTGGGTGCTCCCATCGCTGGAGGGTTTTAAGAAGAGCTTGGACAACCATTTGTCAAAAATGATACGGGGTTTCCTGCCTGAACAGCGGGTTGGACTAGAAGACCTCCAAGGTCCCTTCCAATTCTCTTATTTAAAAAAAGCCATTCTCTGAATTAGCACATCCTGCTGTAGCAGTCTAAAAAGTAGTTTACCTTCAACTGTAATGTTAAATCACATAGCATGGTCTACAAAGCACAACTGCTTTACAAAGCACAACACACATCAGGACTGTGACTTGTTTGGCTGGCCTTAATAC